CAAACCTCTGTGTGCAGCCCGAACGCCGAGCCGAACTTGCCTATTGCACAGACACCAGCCGAAGAAAGACAGCAGAGGTGAATCCCTCCCTCCCTCCCTCCCTGTCAGTCAATCTCTGTGCGCGGCATTCATTGTGTTGTGTTCGTGTTGCTGTGAGCCCACACACCGAGGTACGAGAACGGCGTGTTGATGCCGGCCATGAGGGGCAGCAGCCGCACGGCGTTGCCCTCCCAGAATCCCAAGTTGAGCCCCGGGCACTTGTCGATGCCGTCAAACATCGTGCGGTCCAGATTGTCGGCGTAATACCGATAACCGCACTTGCCGCTCGACAACTACAACACACACACACACAACACACAATGGGTGGGTGGACGCCGCATTGCCTGCCTTGTCTTGTGTGTGTGTGTGTGTGTGGTTACCATGTTCCACATCTTGACTTCGACCTCGGAGGAGAAGGTGCCGCCGATTGGGAAGGGCGTCGCACCGTCGGGCTCACTCTTGAACTCCTTGGCGTTGACCGCCGCCCTCGACTTGGCCCCAGACGCGGTCACCCTGCACACACACCGACGCACACACACACACACACACACAGAGAGAGAGAGAGAGAGGCCGTCGGGGTCTGTCTGTGGGGTGTGTGTGTGTGTGTGTGTGTGTGTGTCTATCGTGCGGTGGACGGCTTACTTTCTGACGTCGGCCCTCTCAAGCTCGATTTGCATTACGCCCTCAGGCGCGCCTTCCTGCTTGACCACTGCACACACACACACACACAGGCACACGTCAACAACCACATGTCATCGGCTGTGTGTGTGTGCGGCACCGACCTCTTTGCTTTGTCTTCCTAGTGACTTTCAGGTCGGTGAAGAAGGCCTCGTCGAAGCCCTTGGCACTCGACTTGAACTCAGGGCCGGGCCGCAACTGCAGCGCATGCGCCACGACACACACACACCCATATATTGCGATCATGGTGCTTGCTGCTCGTGTGATGGTGACGGCCTCACTCACCAGGAGGCCCCCTTGCTTCTCGCCCTTGAGGAAGAGCTTCCGCCACAGCTTTGGCGTCAGCACGCCGTCCGAGGGGATGGGCGTCGGCTTGATATCGATGACCTTCTTCTGCCAACTGAGCATCACAACACGACTCACAAATGCACTCGTCAGTCGCCGTCTGGTCTGAGTGTGCGTGTGGTTAGTGTCTGGCTCACTCTTCGACGACGCCAGCCGGCCCACGCCGCACAGCCGGCATCAGGGAACCTCTCTTAACCAACAACAGCAACAGAAAACGTCGAGAAGAGTTTTGAACGGCGACTGAGCAGCGGTTTCAGGGAGCACCCTAGAGATCCACGAGCTTTGAAGAAGGAAATTGTGTGAAGGAGAAGGCGTAGATAAAACGCGATCGAAGCAGCGGCGATGTTGGATCCTCACCGATGACGCCAGCGAACCGAAGCTCGGGTGAGTGAGGAACACCTAATCACACACGCATTCCCAGCCGCACATTTGGCATAGATTGCCTTGGCGCCGTTGTGCTCACAGGACGGTCTGTCGGTGCACTTTCCTCAACGCCAAAGTACGTAAGGCATCTGACAACCCCTGACTATCCCCAGGCCAGCCAGTGCTCATTGGCGTGCGTGTTTGTGTGTGTTTGTGTTTGTGTATGTTGCATGCCGTGCTCTGCAGGATCCAGCGTGTGTTTGAGCAGGTAGGAAGACTCCCGCGCCGTCAGAAGAATATCGGCCTCTGTTGCCTCTCTGCCCGTCCGTTGGCAGGCGCAGCGGACTTTCCAGGGCACGGTGCCCACGGCTGACAGCGTCAACAGACTCAGGTATGCAGCCGACGCCGACACACAGGCAGGCAGCCGCGTTGGAATGTTGTTGTTGTCTCGTTGTGTCTGTCTGCCAGGCTCCTGATAGAGCAGTTGGGCTCGGAGGATCTTGGCTTGAAGCGCCCGCCCGCTTCGTCACCCCCGGATGACGGCGACGCTGCCTCGGCTTCGGCGCATGAGCCGCCACACACATCGGGTGAGTACGTGAGAGAGTGAGTGGGCGAAGTACACACACAGTGGTAGGGGGCCACTGGATGGATTGTCTCACTCATCTTTCCCCCCCCCCTCTCTCTCTGGTGTTGCTTCAGGTGCGCCAACCCAAGTGCCCACCCCGGCGGGCGGGATGCACCACCAGGATCCGCCCACCACAGCCATCGCCTGGATGGACATATACGAAGTAAGTGAGCAGAGCAAGCTCCACACCAGACGACTGGTTGGAGGGAGGGAGAGATGGCCGCCCACTCATCATTCTGGCCTGGTCTGTCTGTCTGTGGGTATGTCAGAATGAGCACTTCGAGGTGAAGCTGTTCATAATCCCGCCCGGACATGGGCTGCCCATCCACGACCACCCTGGAATGCTCGTCATATCAAAGGTCAGTCAGCGTCAGTCACACCAAACGAGCAAGCTAAGCTACTCGCTCAACACGCCGTCGCACATCGATCGCCACTGCGTATCTATCTATGCGGGCGTGGCGTCAGGTTTTGTTCGGCACCCTATCGGTTCGGGCGTTCCATATCCTCGACGACCCTCGCGCAGGACCAAACCGGCCAGAATCGGCCGTATTTAAGGCACGCTCGCCCACATGCACACGGAAATTGATCTGATTTGCACCGAACCACCTTCGTCGTGTGTGTTGGCCAGGTGACAGACTCACACCTGTGTGGGTTTCACCAGCCCCAGCCCTTCTCGGCGGACATCGGCCGCCACCGGCCAGCAGCATGCACATTCGACGGTTGGGTGGCCGGCAGTGGCGACACCATGCCCGCGGGTGCGCCGGAGGTGGTGTGCAGGACGGATGACGACCGCAAGGCGCGTCAGCTCTTCCCGACCACTCGGCTGGTGCTGCCTGGCCGCGACAACGTGCACGAGTTCGTGGCTGTGACGACGTGTGCCGTGCTGGACGTCATGGGCCCGCCGTACGCCGACCAGCAGGGCAGGGAGTGCAGATACTACCACGTCGAGACGGACAAGTCGGTCGTCACGGCAGGTGGGTGGGTCAAGAGCAGATCGATCCAGGCATTGTTCACTGTGAGTGAGTGTCTGATTGCCGCCTGCCTATGTGTGTGCAGATGAGGGTGGTGCCCCTGATGCTGACGTGTATTTGCGCGAGAGTGCTCAGCCGTCGAGCTACCGGACGGTGGACATTCCCTACACCGGCCCACCGCTCTTCACCGGTCGTTCTCGGGGGGCGCAGGTGCACACACACCATCATGCCTGACTTGTAAGTAATGATGCATCCTGTATCTAATCGTGTGTGTGCGCGTGTCGGGTGGGTCGGTCGGCCGCGACGGTCTTTGAGAGAGGTCGCTCACTTACTGACACCCATCGTGGCGCTTTTATCTCCATGCATGTCAATAATGCCTCCCTTAAGTCTCGCTTACTTACTTGAATGCTGCGTGTGTGTGACTGCATGCTGGGTGGTGTGGTGTGTTGTGTTGTGTTGTGGTGTGTTGCACAATACGTGCAGTCATGTGATGTGCGTTGGTTGCGTGTCCATCTTGGGGGTTTGAAGCAGACAGATGGGCGGCAGGCGGGATGGGATGGTACCTAGGGACTGTTCTCTATCCGCTGACTGAGTCTAGTGCTCTTTTTCTCGTGCTTTTCCCGTCCGGCCCGTCAGACAGACAGACAGACAGGCAGCTGGCTCTGCTGCCACATACACACATGCGTACGTACGAGTGTGTGTCTGTTTCCACACACGAAGCGTACATACTTCCGGACGGCATTTGAATGATCGATACACACATACACACACCCATACACGCAGCTTTCAAGGGTGGGCATGCATGGCATGCAGCAGCCCTGCCTGCCTGTTGGGGTGAGTGAGAGTGAGATCTGTTTCCCTCCCTCAGGCCATCTTCTCTGTGGTGTCATGGTCAGCATGTATCTCTGCCTTCACGGGTCGGATCCCTTGTGGGGGTAAGGATGCAGAGCAGCCGCTCTACACACGAGGAGATGGCTGAGGGGGGATCAGGGGAATTGAGTTTGGTGCGTATACGTATACCATACCTAGGGAGAAGCACATGAGCTGGGGCTCGATGCTCACCTTGTCGCTCGCGTGTGGAGAGGGAGGGGAGGGGAATATTGATCAGGGCATTAGTGTGTGTTTCTCCGGAGGGCATGAATCTGCTGCATGGCATGGGCGGGAGCCCTACTCAACGCGGCGTAGCTGTTTTTCTGGTTCGAGTGTACCTGTCTGTGTCGCTAACTGGCTGGCCGGCCATCCATGAGGGCCCGTACGTCTGCATGCTGTCTCCCTGCGTTGCTATTTTTGGTTGTGTGGTGTCATAGCGAGGGGCTCAGTGACAATTAGAGAGGGATGGATGGGTGTGCACACCGTGTGGGGGCGACAAGACAATGTGTTGACTACAAAAAGGATAACCAAGAGTGTAACACTTCAGCTGCGCACGCAGGCATACATCCACAGGCGCTATACTACTCACACACACTTTCTCTGCCCCAGTACATGGAGTAGTACGTCGTATGCACTCATGCCATCTGGTCCCACCAGGACTGACCAACCATCACTGCCTTGCCGCACCACACAGATTCAACACACAGACACACACACACACACACAGACACACACACACACGAGAGAGAGAGAAGTTCAACATCACACGAAACTCAGACAGTCAATGACCTCGCACCCAATTGCACCCACTGAGTCTCTCACGCTTGCGCACCTGCCCAGCGGCCCTCGTCGATTTCCTCAATCATGTCGCAGTCACTCAACATCGGCTGTGGTGGTCCATTGATGTCTCGGTCACCGCCGAGTGCTCGGGGGGGATTTCGGAGGGGCACTCCCCCACCCCCGCTTGTGTGTTGCTGATTTGGGGTTGTGGGCGGCCGCTTGCCGCTGGCGGGCGTGGCGGTGGCACCGTTGGCAACGGTGTGTGGTGAGTGCGGGGGGCTGAGTGGGGTGTGAACGACGATGCAAGGCTCTGAGGACTCGACGGGTGACCTTCCTGCAGTGCACCAGAGTACACACACGAGACACAAGAGACACAAGAACATGTTTCTGGTTGAGACACCGCTGTGCATGTTCGGTGTTCAGTGCTCGCACCTACTGATTCCGCATAGCGACGGCCCTCATGCTCCTGCGGCTGACGCGCATCAGACAGATCAGGCCAGCCACACACACACACACACATCACGTGATGCGGACGGCTGGCTGGTGTGTCTTGTGTGTCTCACTTACAGGCAGAGGCGTCTTGTGCGGCATTCCCGTGAAGCTCCTCTGCGAGTTGACCGAGAGCCGTCTGTCTCTGAGTATTCGCGTGATCTCAGTGGTGATGGACTGGAGGTCTTTCTGGCTCTCGCCCTCATCCGCAGACACGAGAATCACAGACGGCCGCCGGCTGGAAGGCTCGCCAACGTCGAATACAAACTGAGACACAGAAGAAGAGGGTGTCTGTCCGTCCCCTTTTGTCTGTGTGTGTCTGTCTTTCTTTCCCTAATATATTCTCTCACCGAGTGTCCTTTTTGCAGGTTTTGTACGATGGAGCCGACGATCGATCCATAGTCAGAAGGGGCGTAATGGTTCGCCTTTGAAAACGGGTTGTGCTCGAGGCTGTCCAGCTTGGCTTGGATGTCCATCACAGCCCGGCTGTCACTCTTCTCGCCACGGTGATACGCACTGATCGATCGATCGATCGAGGAACGCAAAAAACAAAACAGACATGGATGTCGTGGTGTGGTGTGCTGATGGGCTGCCTACGCCGAGAGCCGCCGCGTTAGCACTTTTTTCTTTTTCCTGTACACCAGCACCGCATGACAGGTCTGCAACACACGCACCGCACTGCACCCAGCCACGACAGACAGACAGACAGACAGACAGGCAGGCAGACGGACAAACAAGCATCCCTCTGTCGGTGGGCTGTTGTGTTTTGCTGAATGGACTGACGTCGATGAGTTCCCAGAGTGTTGCCAAGGACACGATCACGAGGACACCGATGATGATATACTGCGCCCAGTCCTCGACACGAGTTGTCTCGGGCAGCAGCTTGCCGGAATCGTACACGGCTGCTATGTAAAGCCTGCCACGCATATATAATGCAGAACACACAGAAAGTGTGAATCAATTGTCGATGCGGCATCGCTCGGTGCCTCGATAATACCTCGTCCCTGTTGTCTCCACTGGCCTGGCCGACACGGCCTTTCACAAACGCACACACACGGGTTTCCGTTGTTTGTCTGCGGTCATTGGTTGTCTTGGGAGCTGGGTGCCTCCTACCTTATGTCCGTCGATTTCCTTCGTGTCCTCGTCCTTGGACAGCGAGTGCAGCTTACCCCGCGACAATCGGCCAAAGAAACCGCTGATTGATTACGCACAAGAGTTGATCGACGAAGGAGAAACTTACCCTTGTAAGCCTTGCCTCCCCTCCTCCCTCCCTCTCTCTCTCTCTCTCTCACCCGAGCTTCCACACGGGCTTGTGCACCTTGGAAAGCTCTGAACAGACGGACAGTGAGGAAGCCAGCGGATGAGGGGATGCCTGTCATCAGATCATATCACCTACCTGGGCTGGAGATGACGAGCCCATCATTATCCGCGATGACCGCCTTGACGGTCGTGTTGGATTTGAGCCCCTTCAAGAACTTGTCGAGCTTCAACATGTTGATTTTCAGACCCATCAATGTCTTGTCGCCGAAGGCTAACAGAGACGCACGCAGGCTGAGTCGCCTTTTCCATGGCTGGCTGGCTGGCTGGCTGGTTGTCTGGCTGTGTCTTACTTGGCTTGTACAGCTGGTGTAGTGTGGCATGGTCCTCCAATCCCACGTTTGTGACTACCGGGGGATCGAGATGAGGTGGCACACTGTCATCTGTATACAGACGCCAGGCCCCTGCAGTCATCCGATCCGCCTCATGCAGGATTGCTGATGGATGGATGGCAGGAGCGGCAAGAGACACGGAAGGAAGCCGTCTGTTGAGTACGTGTGTGTGTGAATATGTCATGGTTTGACTGACCTTGTGTCTCCTGTGCGTATGTATCCTGCGCAGGGAGCGCGCATGTCCAGTCACTGATGCTGCGGCTGCTTTTCGTGCAGACTTGAAAGTGAGAAGTGTTCACAGGGACCCTGAAAGAGGAAAAGGACAACGACTTTGGTCGCCACGCGACTGTCACGTCTCAGCTGCTTACTGTGTGCGTATTTGCATCTCCGTCGCATTGACCCGCGCCATCGACCAGGACATGTTGCCGTCCATGTGAATGGAGAAGTATTCCGACTCAGCTTTTAGCTGCAAATGTAATGTACAGCCGAATGGGAGGGAGTGCATGAGGCCCTCCCTCCCTCGCTCAACGCCCAACATCGATCTCACATTCTTGACGTCATAAGCGAATTCGGTGACGTTTTCAAGGAATTCTGACACTATTAGTGGAGCCGCCTGGTACTGAGCCTCTGCAAGCGGCAAAATACGGCACAAAGTGCCAGGGCTCCCAAGCCTCAGTAGACGTGTGTGATGGAACCAACCGTGCCAGAAGGAAATCAGGCGCGTCTCTTCGATGAGCTTGGTGAGGAATCGATGGTCGTCGAAGAAAAATTCCACCTTCTCCACCACTACACGTACAAGGGTACAAGAGAGCAGTATACGCACATTGCTCGCTCGACTTACCTCTCTCTGTGGTGAATGTCGTGCCCATTTCAATCGACTCGGTGATGATGGTCTTGTGGATTAAGTCGTGCACCCATAAGGCCAGCATATCAGCTGAACGGGCCAGATGTGTCCATAAGGCAAGCATGACAGGCTTTGTTCACACAAGGCACCGCTCACCCAGAAGCACGATGAAGGGCACACAGAGATGGCAGAACAGGCCGAGCCACTTCCAGCGTCTTCTCTTGTACCGGAAGAAATTGTCTCTGCTCAAGTCTGTCCTCTCGCTGTCCACCAGCGACTGCTTTGGGGCGCCACGCCTCCTGATGTCTAACCGAAAGGACCTGCCTCTGTTTGGTGTGGCCGTCGCCAGGCCTGTTGAGCCAGCAAGAGTGGATGCCCCTTTGTGGTCCTCCGGCTCTGGACAGGGGTTACTTATGTGCAGCCGGCGGGGAGCTGGCGCTTCCTGCGGAGGGTGCGACTCCATTCGCTTCGACAATCCGTTGGGGGCGAGAGATCGCAACCGTGGGGGCGCCGCGAACTCGGCAGTCCCCTTGTCCCTTTTCCTCGCAATCATGGCAGTCTTCCTCCTCGTGGCGTCGTTTTCCCTGGTGGGCCCCACCCTGTCCATGAGCCACTACCTCCCGCGGCCGACGTCGTCTCCAAGATTCTCTGAGACTCCAACCAGCTGCCCTTACCCACACCCGGCCGACGGCACTGAAGCGAACGAAAGGGAAGACCTCGGTGACAAGCTTCCATCCCAAGCGGCAAAGAGGGTCTCATTCTTGAACCTGCGGTGTATGGAAAATGGCCTCACATCATCGGCAGGCGAGCAGGGCCCGTCGACCGATTACACCCTTGGACCTTACCATGGTGGTCGCACAGTGGCTTGGAAGGAATGTTGGAGGATGGAGACCGCCGCATCCCGTGATCACGAGCAGCCCGACACACAGCAGCTGCTGCGCAGCCCTAAACGGCATCGATGTGACTACAGGTGTGATACGTACAGCGATGGCCTGCATCGGGGCTCTGGCACAACGAGGCTGCTGGTCAACACGACCTGTCATCGACTGGAAAGACGGTGTCGTCAGCGGGCTGAGACACAGTATCAGCGACACGAACAACAGGACGAGCTGTCCGGAGAGCAGTGGAGAACGCCCGCGATTCTCGAGTCTCTGGCGGCGTTGCAGACGCTGTGCAGTCTGGCCTTGTCCTTTGTGAGGCCGCCATCGGGCTCCTCGCCACCTGTCTGTCGTCGCTATTATCTCAACTGGAGTCACGCATCGAACGACAGGGCGGCCTCCCTACAGGCAGTCAGACAAGGGCGGCCTTGGGCTTGGGAGGCGGATATGGGGTCTATAGAAGGCGAGGAGTGTCATCGAGTACACCATTACCATTCACGATGGTGCCCGCCAGGCCCCCGACGGCGGCGGCGTGAGCTGCGATTCTTCCATGCCATGGACACGGTATGCTCGTATCTGGCAGCAAATAGAGACGACGACGGTGAATCTCACCTGTCCTTCGCAGGCGATAGAGGACATTTTCCTCTTCAAGCTCTTGTCTCTGACACGGAGTCCTTCTGTATCGAGGCAGCGACTCACAAGGAGGCGTGGCCCATGCCCGCTGTGCAATGCCACAGCCAAAGGCGAGCAGTCCGAGCCCGCCGAGCAGTCCGAGCCCGCCTCTTCTAAGCCCTTGCCTTTCTCCCTACGTGGCAGCAGCTTCTACCTGCCCAGCCGATGGATGGCCGCCCTGAACGAAGACCGGGAATTACTCTCACACCTGCAGTATCCGCCCTTTTCCGACGATGTCAACCTCTGGCCGTTCTTCATGGAGCAGCGATCCGAGGACGATCACAGGGAATATCAGCAGCAGCCAGAAGAGCATATTCTAGAGGCAGAGCAGCAGCGAGAGGCGGAGGGGGAAGGGGAAGGGGGACAAGAGGCCGTCGTGTCGTTGTTTGACAACCCCTTGCTTGTGGTGAGTGGGATTGTGAGAAGCCTTGTCGGGGCTCCGCTGGATGCCGCGAGGGCCATACAGCCCTTGGTGTTGGGGGTCGAGTGCGCCGGCCCAACATGGTGTCTGCTGGGGTGACTCACTGGTGTATGCAGATATATAGGGGACATACCTGCGTATCTGTCTGCCCGAATGCAGCGGGGGAAGAGATTCAGACTGTCCGGTGGGTGGAAGGCGGGTGCATGGGAAATGGCTGCATTTGTTATCGCGCTAGCTGACTGCGATAGTTTGTACTGGACTGGATAACTGAGTAATGCAAATGGTGGGTGGGTGGGTGAATGGGTGGGTGGCCATCTGCCAGCCAGGGATTCTTGCTGAGACACGTATTGATGTACACTATACATTAGGGGAGTGAAGGTCAAATGGCAATCAATCATAAACAAACACGAAAGACTGAATACCGAAGCCCCAGCGAATTTGTCGACCTACCCCATTGCTTCAAGCTGCACATATCACACGACCCACGCACGCACCCGGAGCATTTACTCCCACCCCCGTGCCCGCGGCCCCTCACAATCTGCACACGTCCTCAGCGCCCCTCTCAATAGCCACACACTCCCTCTCCGACGCCCTATCGTCAATATTCCCCGTCAGGGCCCCTGTGCGCGCCGCCACCGCTGCTGTCCGGTCCGCCACTGATCGGTGGGAGTGGGCACTCACAGAGTGGGAGTCCGTCGCCTCATCGGCCCTCGGCGAGCAGCGTGTAGGGCTGCTGCTAGATAGCAGGTCTCCTTGGATGTATATGGGCTTGCCTTCTTGGGGGGCCTCTTCACAAGCTGATTCAGCCTGGGAGGCATCAGGAACGTTGTGGTTGCAAGCAGCTCGGGCCGCCGGCGCGAGGAAAGGTGGCAGGCACTTGAGTGAGAGCAAACTCTTGTGGGTTTTCAAAAGGGCCAAACCTGATACGGGGGTGGAAGAGAGGGACGCGGGAGTGTATATGTGTCTTGAGCGCTTGGCACTTCGTGTCTCCGTAACCGTAAGCAATGAGGGCGACAGCAGCGAATGTAATGACGACACTACCGGCCGTCCAAGCGAGCCAAAGCACAAAGGAATGCCGACCCGACCCATACCTGAGCCAGAAAGACGTACAATATGCCAAATATGGGCTTGGCCTCGCCCTCTATCCGCGTGTCTCACCTCCTCATGACCCAGTGCCATAGTCTGTGGTGCCCTGCTGATGAAGCTAGAGGGTCGCAGAACTGGGTGGCTGTATCGAGCAGCGACGAAAACGGCAGAAACGCGTCATCGGGCGAACTCTGAGAATCATATAGATAACAAAACGAGACACATACAGTCCACACACACAGCCAGCCATACATGTACAGCGAGACAATGGTGCTACCTGCAGCCGAATAGCCAGAGTGTTGCTGAGACCGCCCAATGCCTTATCGAGGAGGTTTAGAAGGAAGGTGAGGGAGCATGAGGGACGGGGGACCGCTCTCGCACTGCGTATCAAGAAGAGACACGGAGTGTGGGGGGTGGACGGTGTAATCTTGATGATTACATATTATCACCTTACTGGATGGCTCTGCAGGAGTTGTCCAATCGGTTGCAGAAGGAACGAGAAAGCAGGAGATCCAAGGTGGTGCTGCCAGGGAGACACGACAACGCACAATAATACGGACTTGGGAAGGTACCAGAATGGGGCTTGTAGGCCTTACTTGGGACTTCCAATTGTGTTATATGGCGAGCAGAGGAGCGTGCAAAGAGCCAGCTCAGCATTGGAAACACACCTACCGCAGACACAAACGCAATGGGCCACCAACACTTATGACTCATGAATGCGGCGGTTGCAATTCTACCCTGGACATCCACCAAAGTGTCTCGTCACTTCCCTCCACAGTGGCTCCACTCGTCGAATGTGATCTTCAGAACAACACCGCGCGCCACCATAGGACGAGCATGTCCCTTTGGCCGTTGATGATGTGTGGAGAATCGTTGCTGTTCTAGGTGCGGCGCCGGTCAGAGCGCAGAGCGCATGTCAGCCTCGCTGGCGGGGTGAGAGGGGGGGCGAGGTGGGACGAGGGACGAAGGAAAGAAGGCCGGACAAAGGCAGGGGAAGGAGCTCTTGGACCGATGAAGGTGCGATAAGGAGCTGACTCGACGAAGCTGTCCATACAACAAGAAACACATTGCATGTGCGTCTGCATCCTTCCCGACATGTCTGCCAGCTCACCTTGTCGCTGGTGCAGAGTGACCTGAGCCGTTTCCCCGCATTGCATATCGGTCATGGCGGTCCACCTGCCTCATGCCGAATGACCGGAGAGGCCGGAACGCCAACGACTTGTCACCGGCGTGCGATGGGTGGCGTCGCGAGGAAACGAACGCAAGCCCAAGGGGGATAACACAATCGAGGGCCCCTACTACTTGCAAGAGAAATAGGGGCAACGCAGCTGATGGTACTCTGTTCATTGCAACTCAAGTTTAAAATTAAATTTTGTCGTTTGGCCCCATTTGGGGCCACGAGACCGGCTCGTGTTCAACGAGACCAGACCGGCTCGTGTTCAACGAGACCAGACCGGCTCGTGTTCAACGAGACCGGCCATGCCGTCTGCGCAACAGGCATAATCCATTGGAGCGCAATGCAAAAAAATGAGCATCTTACTGTGCAGCTGCATGGCTGCAGCTAGCAGCAAGGAAAACACGTGTCATTCTGGTCCATTTCTCCTGACTCTTCCCTAACCATCAGCTTCTGCCCGTTCTCTAGCTCATCGATCACCTTCAAGCGATCCTCCCCCTGCCTAGGCTGACCTTTGCCATCAGGGGCTTCAACCGATGGAGCCTGATCGTGACACACAGGCAGTGACTGACCCTACCAATGAACAGACATGTAACCACTGAGCTCACCATGTCAGAGTCAGGAAGAGACTCGATCCGCTCCCACAGTTTGTCCTCTTTCTTAGTGGTTTGCTGGTGGGGCGCCGGAACAGGCACATAGACATCCGTGGGTTTGTCGTAGTGAAAGAGGGGGGAAGGGTCGCCCTTTGGGCCCGGAGCTGGGAGGGAGGGCTGAATGCGTGCCTGCCGATGAGGCCTGTGCAGGATATAACAACCGCCGATTCAACAGGCACACACACCGATTCAACAGGCACACACACGTGCATGAATGACCTGATATCAGGCTTTCTCTTCCTCGTGAATCGGGCTGGCATCTGCTGGTGTTGAGCAGGTGTCTCGCGCAGAGGCGACTTGGCTGATGAGGGGGGCGAAGCGGCTTGGGGCGGCGGATAGATAGACGACAGAGGAGGGAGAGCTGACGGATCTCTCAGCCGACGTGGGAGGCTTTCTGATCGATTGAAAAGAGAGGCACACCACATTATCGCATCATGTGCCACCAAGAACTGAGCAGACGTTGTATTACCAATCCAGCGATCCAGCACTCGCACAGAGGCCCTCAGGTCGCTGAATCTGGGGTCAAAGACCTCGTCATCCTGCGTTCGCTCCAGCAGCAAGCACTTCCCGCCATCCCTCTCACACGGCCGCTTCTCATCATCGTACTGTCCTTTCGTTCTCTGCTGTATATCCCCATCACAGCTGCTTCCACTTCCCCACAAGACGATGGAATCTGTCCTCTGCTTGTATAGAAACCTGCCCGTGTTTCGCGACCGCACCGACAAGATCCTCATGCCGTCAACAGGCTCGGCAAGACTCAGCGCCTCCCATCGCACAGCCGGCTGCCGAATGGGAGAGAAAGCAGACGCAGAGCGAGGGGGCAGCGGGTGTCTGTCGACAAAGTGGGTGCACCAGAAGTCGTCACGCGGATAGCGGCAGATGGTATATTTGTCACGAGCAGAAGGGTCATGCGAGGAGCCGGGCATCGGTGATGGCGGCCGCGAGTTCAAGACAAGCGGCGGCCGGGGCCTGACCTTCTCCAGAAAGGTGGTGATGGCCGGGTCGTCGAGAGCTGCGGTTGGCTGGAACGCTGCACGACCGAGTTGCTGGAGGGTGCGATGGAAATTGTGCCGCGCCTCGGAGGCCCTCTCAAGGACTTGCCGCTCAGGCGCCTCTCTCCCGTTGCTTGCTGCACAAACATGTCACAAGTGTGTCTGCATTCCCTGTATTCGTCTCACCCGATCCGGTTGTTGTCTCACCCGCAGAAAAGTAATCAGTCTGCGTCCGTCTCCGTGTCGGTGGAGGTGCCCGAGGGGGTTGACGTCGACTGTGACGGCACTTGCGATAGAGCTTCAGATAAGAAGGGACGGACCCACTTTCGTCTGAGGTGTGAGAAAACGTCACAAAGCCACACACACAGACATGAGTCAAGCCCAGACAAGTGTGAGGAGAGAAGATGCGTACTGGATGACGAAGATGCGGCCGCGCTGGCAGGTAAGGACTTGAATAGAGGCGAATCTGCGTCGTCCATGGCTGAGATCATCATGGCTGAGATCGCATAGTTTGAGCCCCAGTCAAATGGTCAAGCAGGAACAAATCCGCCGCATAAAGAGAAGGCCTCTGATCGGCGTCTTGCATGCAGCCCCCATTCCCCCCTGAGCTCGCCGTCTCGCGTCTCAATGACGAGTGATCTTTGGTGGGAGGACGAAGTGGAAACATTTTTGACGCACAGCTCTGCCCCACTGTGGCAGGAAGATGTCAAGGCTTCTGCTGGGTGGTCCTGGAGTGTGGCGGAGCCCCTTTGCTCACGGAAAGTGGCGGAGCCCCTTTGCTCACGGAACCACACACCGCATGGCGCGTGGCTGCTCTCTGAGGAGTCTCTATCGTCTTCTTGCCCTGTTGATCAGGGCGAGGCCCCTGCTCAGCCTGAGGGAAGATCCGGGGCCCAAGGTTTCACACCGTCGTATGACCTTTTGTATCCGTGTTCCGTGTGCGGTTGCGGCCCGGCTTGCGGTCCGTCAACAACGCCGCAAGAGACACAAGACGGGAAGGAAAGCCTGCTGTTTAGTGGTCGCCCAGCAGATTGGAAACCGGCCAGGGACAGCTCGAGGGACGAGCCTGGTCTGGGGCTACCGCAAGAAGACACAGGATGGGCACTGCGGTGAGAGCACGGACATACATACTGGTGGATGCGAAGGAAAAGCCCTTCACTTATGTGCAATCGTCAGCGCAAAACTTGCCGGCATCGACCAGCAGCTGCGGGTGCTGCAGGAGCAAACATCGTTCGATCGAGAAGAGAGAAGCCAAATGAGGACGCTGTTGGATTCAATTACACAGCAGCTCCTCAGCATCATGCCGCAAATGCTCAGCAGGTCGGTTGGGCAAAGAGATATGATGTCAAAATATCGGTGTCGTCTCCTTTCATGGCTTGATGGACAATCCCCTGTCTCAGGCTTGAAGAGACCTCAGTCGGTCAAGCCTCTTGCCCCACTTGCCCAGCTCGCCCATCGCCGGCACGAACGGGCCGCGAGAGACAACAGAGATTCCTAGACAGGCCATCTCCCTTTCCTCCAAGAAGAGTTCAAGTGCAGGGGCGACTGCCTGTGTTTAATGCTGCTGGATTGATGGAAGAGGAGCGGAGATTATCAGACATCGGCTACGTCGGCAAGGCGAGATCGGTGGCTACACAGACGGGCGGAGGGGACCAGCTGTCAAGTGCATCAGGTACAGAGGGAGGAAAAACGATAACATGCGGCTGTCACATGTGGCTATGTAAGTGTATATGCGTGGTTTGTCAATGACAGGCTCTCCGCGAGTTGGCAGCATCAGTCAGGTCTGGTCGGCCACTTCTTCATCTCCAGTCACCCTCTCGCCAGATATGGCCACACCATCATTTGCCCCCCCGCCACAGACGCCCCACAAACATCACAACATGACTTTCCCCCAGAGACACGTCTACCAGTTGAGGTGAGCAAGAGACACCAGCCAATTGCTGATATGTGGTGCCCACCCAGCTTCTTCTCTCAATAATGACTGCAGTCTGGCCATGGGTCTCCAGCAGGCAAGAGCGCAGCACCGCGGCTGCCCCCCATCTGCCTTCCCCCCTCCCACCCCCCCGTCGACTCCTGAATTCAGCCGTGAGGTCTTCGACTTTTCGCAGCCTGTGATGCAGCTCATTGGCAGTGATAAGCGACGCTATAAAGGGAAGGAGGGCGTTGGGCAGATTGTGCGGCGAAGCGGTGGGAACCGGCTGTGGAGGGGGCGGCACAGAGACGTCGATTCAACGCGTACAGCGACACCAATATCCGATGATGAGGGACAGTGGGGGTAGGGATCGGTGTTGTTTCCGTGCGTTGTCTTGGATGTGACATTGATACTCAAGAGTGCTGTGCACACAATGTATCCTGCCTGTTGCGTCGACCTGTTGCGTCGACAAGTTAATGACGCGAAAAGACGTCGACGCCCTACGACGCCCATGTCAGACAGACAATGTCAAGCAGACAAGCACAGACAACAACTTAAACAGACGTGCGTGTCCCTCCTGTCCCTCACCCCTTCCTTTTGCCGGTCGGCTGCGTGCTGCATTACGCTCCCCACGACGATCTGTGGACTTTGGCTGCCCCATAGATTTACAGAGCTAAGCTCGCAGTGCGCGAGCGGCAATTGGGTGGCCATGGATGGGTCTGCATCGGCATCCACAGTCCTGGCGGATGCGTCGTCTGGCAAGTCGTGCAACATCAATGTAGCCGTGAGGTTCCGTCCGCTGAATGACAAGGAGAGGGAGCTGGAGCAGCAGCCGCTCTACGCCGGCAAGGGCAGGTGCTGGACCGTCAACAGCCCAGACAGGCGGACCATCATCAACCTCAGATCCAACGAATCTTACGCATTCGGTGAGCTCGGGATGAGGAAAGAACACACATCCGGCCGACGAGGATTGGGTGAACAGGTGTGCCTGCCTATGGTATGTATGGTCAGATCATGTGTTTGAGGAGAGCGCGAGTAACGATGAGGTGTTTGATGAGCTCGTCAAGGACATCGTACACTCCGCCGTACTCGGCTTCAATGGTACATCCTGACAAGGCGCCCTTTTGTTGCGTTCCTCATTACGCCACGTCTGTCCACACAGGCACCGTGTTTGCGTACGGCCAGACGGCCTCGGGCAAGACGCATACCATGATGGGTGGGTGGGTCGGCGGGGCAGCAAGGGAAGAATGGCGGGCAGTGGAGTTGTTCTGTCCTTTGCAGGCAATGGTGACAAGTGTGTGAAGGGGATTGTGCAGAGGGCCGTTCAGGAGATCTTCGCACTCATAGCCAAGGTCGGTCGATTTTCGCCACTGACTTACTCCCCATTCATCTCTCCACATGCATCTGTGCATCTGCTGGTGTTCGTCAGGCTGACGACGAGTGCCGACAGCGAGAATACCTCGTCAGCATGTCATACCTGGAGGTGAAGCGCCTACACGACACCCATGCAAACACACCCTCCCCGGTGTGCCACTTCCCCTCCCTCTGTTCAGGTGTACAACGAGCAGTTGTTTGACCTCATCGCAGAGGCCCAGAGCCCAAACACACCAAAGAAAACGCTGCAAATCATCGGACAGGGCGCAGGTGGGTGAGGAGAGCGAAGCGGACTGCTGGTGGCAAAGGCAAAGCTGCTGTCCGGTGTGTCTGTCTGTGTCGGTCAGATGTGTCGGTCCAGAACGCGGAGGAGACCAAAATCACGTGCAGCGATGACGTCTTCCAGCTGCTGTAAGCTCACATCTGCATTGCATTCGCCGCCCATCAAGTCAGTCCACTCACTGCTGTCTGTCCTCCTTCATGGATGAATTGCATTCATTAAGTGAGCTGGGTGACAAGATGAAGCACATAGCGGCGACCAACCTCAACGAGCGGTCGTCTCGCGCTCACACCATCCTCAGACTCCGCATCGAATCAAGACACCTGCAGGTGAGTGAGTCCTCTCTCTCCCCGCCTCCCACGCACCCATTCGCCCACCCCAGCCACGTGTCTGTACTGTGTGTGCGTTATACTCAGGCGGACGATGAGGAGTTGGGTGCGTGCGACATCGACAGGACGGTTCGGGTGGGTCTCCTCAACCTGGTCGACCTCGCAGGTACGTCACGACGCAGAAGACACACAGCCCGCATTTCTATCTATCCGTTTTTCCCTTCGGTCAGGATCCGAGAATGTGAGCAAGGCCCAGACGGCTGATGAGCGCAAGAGGGAGGGGGGCAACATCAACAAGAGCCTCCTGGCGCTCTCCAGGGTCATCGAACAACTCAGCACTCTCGAACAAGCCAAAAACAAAATGGTCAGAGGGTGGGGTGTGCAACACACACACACACACACACATATGGAGGAAGGGGGCATGGTTTATGTATGCGTTGACAGGAGAAGTCGACGTTTGTGAATTTCCGCGACTCCAAGATCACCCGGCTGCTGCAGAACTCCATCGGCGGCAACGCGAGGACGGCCGTCATCTGCACGGTGTCGCCATCTAGCACATGCTACAGCGAGAGCAAAAAGTAGGCGCCCGCCCGAGGCCCCCACATCAACACATCCGCTGCAGCCAAACGGCCTTCATTTCGATTTTCTGTCAGGACACTAGAGTTCGCACTCCGTGCCAAGGCCATCACCAACAAACCCAAAGTGCGCGAATCAGCACAGAGGGCTCCTGGACGCCCACGTATCCACATGAATGTCTATGTGTGTGTCAGGTGAACATCTTTGCTGACGACGAGCAGTCGGCCATCAAGCAGCTCAAGGGTGAGATCAGAGTCCTCCGGCAGCAGCTCAATGACAAATACGGGGTAAGTGGCTGCGTGGTTGGCCACCCGCGCTCCGATCCGTGGGATGTGTGTTGTCTTGTGGATGGGGTGCAGGTAGAGAAGATTCAGAACCTCACGGATGAGAACTCCAAGCTACGAGAGGAAAGGTGACTCGCGAGGATGCCAGCCGACTTCATTGCACACCGCTGCGTTTGTCCGTCTGCAGGTCGCGTTTGGAGGCGCACATCGCCCAGCTGGCGGCACAAATCCACTCGGCCGCAACGTACGCAGGCGCGCCCCGCCCACACATATTCTTTGCCATTTCATCCATCCGTCCAGTCCATCGATTCATGTGTGGTGTTTCCCCTCCCTCCCTCTGTCTGTCAGTGTGGTGTGTTTGCCCAAGAGCCAGGGCAACAAGATGCGCCGCAAGACCATCCACGTGCCCACCTCTAGCGAGCTGGAGCAAAACGACAGTGAGTGGGTGGCGGTGGAGGATCAGCAGGAGGTCTCGCACACCCACCCCAGCCCCCTCATCCACTCACACCACCCACCATCTGCTGCTGACAAAGTTCGCCGCTCACTGGGGGTGCGCCGAGACGCCGAGGGCACGATGCAGCCACAGCCAAGCGCACCGCAGGAGGGGTCACGGCTGCGGGACCTGCCGTCGTCAATGGCCGCGTCTCCGCCCCGCACGCCATCTCTCCCCCCACAGCTCCGACGACCGACCAAAGCAAAGGTGACTGACGCGACAACATCCATGTCTCAACCAATGTGTGCTTCTCCTCTCCTGCCAGGTGTCCGAGCTAGGTGTGCAGACGGATAGTGGGGCCGAAGGCGACTCATCGGTGCCTGTGTGGGCGAGTGCTCGGATTGCCGAGCTGGAGGGGGCAGTGGCCGCCCTGGGGGCCGACAAGGCCGAGGCGAAGCGCGAGCTCGACGACCTGGCGGACCATGCACGGCAAGTGCTCGACGAATACGGCAACCTTGAGGTGGAAAAGGGCCACGGCTAGGCATCTACTTACATTCATCTCATTGTGTGCAGGAGTCCAAGAAGGCAGTAGAGTCAGAGCATGACGAGGCCCTGCGACGCATCGCAGAGCTGGAGGCACAGGCCAAGGACGGCACAACCACTGCACCCACATCAACACCTGACACCCGCCCGCCGGTACAGACAACGACAGACATCAAATGGACAGCCACATTGGAGGAATCACCTTCATGTGTTGGTCAGGCGTGTGACTCGTCTGTTCAGGCTGGGCAAGAGGAGGAGAAGATGGATGCAGCGCGCCAGGTGATTACGTCTCATCATCTTCCCGGCCGTCAGTAGCAGCTGCTGCGTTTCGTGTCGTGTTGTGTATTATGCAGGAGAGGGACAGCCTGCGGGCGAGCCTCGCCGCTGCTGAACAAGAGCTGGCTGCCATGAGGGGCCAACCAGTCCCATCGCAGGTCAGCCAGCCGATACGCCCTGTACACGAGAGAGATGGCGAAACACACATGTGTGTGTGTCGGTGTTGCTTCCCCTTTCCTGTCAGGATACGTCCTCTGAGTTGTCTCGCTTGCGTGAGTCCGAGTCGGCCCTGCAGCAGCAGATCCAGGCCCTCCAAGCCGAGAAAGCCCTCATACAGGAGCAGCTGCACAGCGTGGGATCGTCCAACGCTGAGGTGAGTGAGTGACTGACACACGCCTACACGCAGCCAGCCCCAAGGGAGGGCAAATTGGTTCTGTGTTGGTTTGCGCCTCTGCTCCAATCCATGTCTCCATCCATCTACGTATCAGTATAGCGAGAAGGTAGCGGTTGCGGAGCGCATCGCCAAGCTGGAGAAGGCGGAGCGCGAGAAGAAGGAGAGGGAGCTGCAGAATGCCGTCAAGGCGCGAGACCTCACGCTCACACAAATGCAGGAAAAACAACAGGTAAGGAGAAGAAGTGGTCGCTCACATAGCTGCACGTTTGCGTGTCCCCCGTGGCTATCCACTCAGCTCGTGGATCGCCTCAAGGAGGAGCGAAGCACCCTAGAGGTCGCTGGGCATGCACATCTTTCCTGTTCCTGTTTGTTGCATGTCTCTTTTCCTTTTCCTTTGTTTGTGTCTCAGTTGGAGAGGTCTGACCTGGCGTCTCGCGTGTCTCACCTCGACGGCGAGTTGATGGCCCTCCGCACTCAGCAGATGGCCAACGAGGAGCGCTGGACGAGGCGGGCCGACGACATCGCATCCGCCATGCAGACGAGTAGCTTGAGCCAGCAGCAGCTGCATGCGCTCCAGGTCAGTAATCACACGCCACTGGTTGTGTGCTGACAAACCCGTGTTCTGTTTGTGTGTGTCAGGCGGAGGTTGAAAAGGCGACTGTGGCTGCTGCTGGTCTGCGTCACGAGAAGGCGTCGCTGGAGGCTGCCCTGGAGAGCCAGCAGGAGGACCGCAAGAAGATCGAAGAGACCGTGACAGCCATGGAAAAGGTAGGGAGGGACAGCAACACACTCGACAGGCCTCCCATCGCCCCTCCATCTGTCTCTCTGCCGTTGTGTGTGTCCTGCAGGAGCTGGCTGATCTCCGTTCAGAGGTGTCGAAGAGCCGCCAGTCGCAGAGCACCAAGAACGGCCGCCTCGAGTCGCTCGAGGGCCGCGTCAAGGAGCTCATGGACGAGAGGAAGGCCATAGAGAAGGACAAACTCACTCTGCAAACGGCCATGTCCAACATGGAATCGGTAAGCAAGGGAGGGAGGGAGAGAGGGGCGAAGGGGGAGAGCGACATCTGTCACTGCTCGGCGACATTCTGCATGTGGCGGCATTTAGGCGAATGAGAAGCTGCGTCAGGAGGTGCGTGTGGCCCGCATGGCCGAGGAGAGCGTTCGTGCTGCGCTGGAGGAGCTGCAGGCACATGTGCCAGACCACGAGCATCAGCTGCAGGCCACCAGCCAGCAGCTCCAGGCCAAACGACTCCGAATCGACGACATCACACAGGTAGACACACAGAGAGAGGGGCCGCAAGCCAACGCTCTCACAGCAACATGTGTGTGTGTTCCCCTCTCCCCCTTGTCAGCAATTGGATGTGCGCTCCAAGGCGCTTCACGAGGTGGAGGCGTCCAAGGTGTCACTCGAGGCCCGACTGGACCAGCTCACGGCCAAGAACCACCAGCTCGAGTGCGAGCGGCAGGCGGCCGAGAAGCTCCGCGGCGAGGTGCAGGTGGCCCTCGACAACTCCAAACACGGCATCAACCGCAAGGAAGAAGAGCTCAAGGCGGTCCGGCTGGATCTGCAGAAGAAAGAGGGCGACCTGGCGCGCAAGGAGGATGACTACGAGCGGGTGTGTGGCGAGCTGAGGGGACTCAAGGACGACATCGAAAGAAAGGAGGCCGAATACAAGGTGAATCTGAATGCCAGACACATTCGCCCATCTGTCCATCCCTCCACGCACACACACACACCCCTGTGCTTCTTTGCTTTGTGTGGTGTGGCGTGTTGGTCGTGCAGGCTGCCTTGCGTAGTGAGCGTGCCCGCCTGGAGAATGCCGAGCATGTGTCGGAGCTGCTGCAGAAGGAGAAGAAGCAAAGGGAGAAGCTGCAGCGGGTACGTACCGAACGAACAGACACAAAGGGAGAGACACGGCACGGCTTTTTGCACTACAGGGTCTCACCACGTTTGTCTGTCTTTGTGTGCAGGATGTTGACGGTCTGGAGCGTGACAATGAGGACCTGGCCTTAGAGAGAAACAAACTCGCTGACACCATCAAGGTGAATCAGCCCACAACGAAACGAAGGAACGAGGATGCATTCATCGTGTGTCTCGTGTTGCTGGGTGCAGCATCTTGAGTCTCAGCTGCGGAGTGCTGCCTCGAAGGACTCGCCAGATGACTCGGGCCGGGCCGTCATCGCACTCAAGGATGCCCTCGCACAGGCCGAGGTGAATGAGATGACACCACACATCCAGCCAGCGATGCACTGTACTGCACTGCACTGCACTGCACGAACCAAGGAAAGAGACACAGACGTGTGTGGACATGTGTGAGTGGCGCGTGTCTGGCAGGTTGAGCGTGACGACTTCAGGTCTCGTCTGCACCACGCTGAGCGCACCGCAAAGGACACCAAGAAGGAACTGGAAGACCTCCACTCAGAAAAGGTACGCACACCGCACAGCACCGCACAGCTCTCGCCTGTCTGTGGCCTGGCCCATCAGATGGAGATGGCCGAGCAGCTCAAGTCAGCAGAGGATGCCCGCGCGTCGCTGACCGCCGAGGTCCATCGGCTCCAGGAGCACATCCGCAAGGCCGCCACACAAGGCACGCAGAGCAGCGACCAGCTCACCGAGATGGCCTCGCGGCTGGAGGAAGCCACCGCACACGAGCACTCCGTGCGGAAGGAGCTGCAGGGGGCGGCCGACGCCCTCGCCAGTCAGAAGCAAGAGTACGACGAGCTGTTCGAGCGGTACGAGGCCGAGCAGACCCACAACTTCGAGCTCAAGCAGGAGCTGGAGAGCCGCACAGCCGAGGCCGTTGAGTGTGTCCGGGTCGAGAGGGCTCGCGTGGCGAAGCTGGAGAGGGACATCAGGGGGATGGAGAGGGAGCTCGTGTGGGGGAGGGAGGACCGCGAGCGGCTGGTGAGGCACGTGAGTGCGCTTGAGGAGGACCTCATCAGCAGCATCTCGGAGGAGCAGGATGATAGCCAGGTCGGTGCGTTGCGACATATTCCACCCACCAATTTCACTGTGAACGTGCTGCCTGTCTGTGTGCGTGTGTGTGTGCAGTATGTGGCAGAGTTGGCGGAGTCTCTGGCGGGCAGGATCGGCCAGCTGGATGCACAGCTATACGACCTGTTAGACCAGGTAGGCACACGTATATCTAGAACGGAGCTGAGCATCTTGCCTTCTCGTTATCTTTCGCTGCAGTTGAGTGCGTTGGCGGGCCCTCTCCATCAGGCCTACATCGACATCATCAGCCTCGACGCTGACCTGCACTCGCATCAGGTGCGCACAACCGACCAACATGCTCCCTACAACCTTTACAAAACGCTCTTGATGTCTCAGGTTGCTTCCGAGCAGTCTCACCATGGCGAGCTGATAGCCGAGCTAACTGCATGTCTCCACAGCACCTCCCACGACCTCTCCCAGGCCCAGCAAGACATCCGCGAGCTCCACACGGACCTCGGCACCGGCGAGGAGGACAAGACGCGGCTCCAGGCCACTCTCACCGACACACAGAGCCAGTTGGCAGAGACACGGGCGGCCCTCCGCGCACGCACCGACAAAGTGCTGCTCGACACTGCCGTGGCGACGGAGCCGACGGCCACTGCGGATGTGTGTGTGGGTGGGGAGGAGGACACGTCCGTTGAGTGTGGCGTCAACACCGAGTACGACATTGACAGCAGTGAGGATGGTGCAGAGGGGGGCGAGGGCGGGGAGGGGGAGGGTGGTGGTGTGGATGGTGATGTGGCGCGGCAGCTGAGGTGGCGTGTGCGGCAGCTGGAGCAGCAGTGCGCCATACTCGCCAAGACGGAACAGGGCCAACTCTACAAGGCAAGAACCCTCCCCATCTGTCCGCCCGCACACACATGGATGGATGGTGTGTGTATTTGTGTGTGGCTGTGTGGCTGTGTGCATTCGTGTTGTCAGCGCTTGAAGGCCGACAAGGAGGACGAGATGCACAAGGTGGAGGAGCGGCACCAGAGGGAGAGACAGGCGCTTAGAGAGCGGATCGACGGACTCGCAAACAGCCTCAAGGAAGAGAGCAGAAAGGTACGCACATACGAACCAACCAAGCCACCGTCAACAGATCAGATGGCGTGTATGGTCTGTGTGTGTGTGTCCAGCGTGACATAGCTGAGAGTGAGTGCGCCCGCCTGAAGCAGACGGCCGCCGACCTTCAGATGGAAATGAGCCACTGCCGCGCAAAGTCAGTCAGCTGCCACAAGAACACCGACCGGCGCACCACAGACAGACTTGTGAATGTCATGCGTCTGTCTGTGTTGTGTGTGCAGGATAGAGGCCATGGAGAAGATCAAGGCTCGGCAGGAGACCCGCCTGCAGACCATGGAGGCCGGCACCGAGCCACTCACCGAACGAATCGAAAAAGTGGAGGTCCGTTGACTGACTGACTGACTGACACACACATACACACACGTGTGTGTCTGTGTGATCTCATTCATCCCTGCATCCATCTATTTATCAGCGTGAGAACCGCAACTTGCGCAGTGCGTTCCAGCGTGTCAATGACGAGAACAAGAAGCTCCACGGCCGCATCCGGGCGGGCGCAGGGTCCTACTCGGGGGAGCTGCAGCAGCACCTCGAGACCCTCCGCACAGCCAAGGAGGAGCTCACCAGGGAGAGAGACGAGCTGACAGAGAAGAACACCGACCTGGCGAGGTCGTACGAGACGCTGCGGGCCTTCTGTGCCGTCAAGAAGGACAAGCGGACCTACCTCGAGCAGCAGCAGCAGCAGCAGCCCGACAAGCCCACCGAGTACATGACCCGCTTCCGCACCAAATGGCCGCTGGACAGCTCGGGAAGAGACCCCTACTACGTCCTCACAGGTGACCACACACATAGACACACACACACACACACACACACACACAGAGGGAGAGAGAGAGAGAGAGAGAGGCGGTCGCCCCTCATGCATTTATTCACTTGTGTGTGTGTCTATGGCGTGTGTTTGTCAGAGGGCGACATCGATCGTATTGTCCGTCGTGCTGAGGAGCTGCTGGAGGAGAGGCGCAGACAAGAAGCAGAGGAGGCCGCCGCCAAGCAGGCCGCAGCAGAGAGGCAGGAGAAGGAAGCCGCTCTTGACGGGACTGGCGAGCGGGGCGGCCAGGATCCGGCAGTAGCGGGAGAGGGACATGCGGCTGTGGGAGAGGATGAGGGTAGCGGGGCATCTGATTCATCGCAGACGGGGGGCGACAGCCGCCCTGCCGACGGCAAACACAGCCAGGACTGCAAAGTGCAGTGATGGGTTGAAGTGGCGGTCTGTTCTGCATGTGTCGTTGGATACATCGAATCGGATGGACATCCGCTGATATCCTCAATTGAATGATGTGATGACTAGGGTTTAGATGAGCACATCACCAGCCGCCCCTGTGGCCCCCTGCAATGGGAAAAAGCCTCCAAAGCGAAAGTATTAGGGTTTGGGGTCTAGGGTTTGCGAGCTTAGAGGTGCAGGGGAAAGCACGCGCAAAGAAGATCAGATCAGCAGCAGAGAGGCTCACAGAAAGGCCACACACGCAGTCAGGAGCAGCCAGAAGGGCAAATATCTGCTGCTGACGTGCCTTTTGTGTCTGTCTGTGTCAGAAATGGGCGCATTGCGCCAAGTCTGTTGCCTCCGTCCTGGTGACCCACAACAAACTTACCATCGTCTCCATTACGAAAAGGTCACTATTCGTTAACACACGGCCTCCTGACATGCTCTCCTTCATTTGCTTGAGCCGTAAGTGTGTGTGGATGCGCAGATGGCCGCCCAGTGTGTGTGGAAGGTGGCAGCATCGGAGGCTCCTTAGGGTGTCAGAGGATTGCTCTCGATGAAGGCTTTGCTGTGCTGCAGCTGGCCGCTGCTCACGGTGACGTCACACAAGGAGGAAGGCACATATATTCCGAATGCTTGGTGCTGTGTGTGACGTGCAGCTCCGAGGAATGCTTTTCCTTAGGCATTTTGCAGGTCATTCTCTTCGCCAGCAAGAGGGCTTTTCGGTGGTGTGGGTTTGGAGCAACAGCGGAACTTTCTAGAGGACATTTGTTTCTGTGGGCATAAGGAAGGAGCTGATTGATGGCGGCTGAGCATCTGGAGGGAGTCCGGGGGACCTTGCGCGGCCGCCCCTGGCGATAAGAAGGCACCACCCGTGAAGTGACGTGACGGACGCCTGACTAGCTAAAGGAAGGGAAGGGCATATGGATCTGCGTCAACCAAGGTCAGTCACATGGTTCTGCCTGCATCGACCAATGGTTCTCAACGAGTGCACTCACTGCTTGTGTTTTGAGCTTGTTGGTGTGCAGGTGCTTGGTGGGCGGTGACAGACATGTCGGCATTTGGGTGGACCGACATCAGTAGGTGAGCATGGTGGGTGGAATGGGCCTGCTCACCGAGAAAGAGCTCGTGTGGCCGGGTGTATATATGTCAGGTTCGTCCAGCGAACACTGCTGCTGGTGTGCTATCTATGCGATGCGGGTGATGGTGGTGGTGCGGGCTCGATGCTCCCCGCATCTAATTAATGGCTGGTGTTAATCGAGATCAAGTGCCCTTCCAGCATGCGGCCGGTCAGCAAAGTTCCGCCCGCCCCTCTGCTGCCCGTCAAAAGTTCCGCCGGCCTCTCTGCTGCACACACACACGTGTGTGGCGGGGGGATGCGTGGCTGTCGAGTAGCTGCACACACACACACGTGTGTGGCGGGGGGGTGCGTGGCGTGTGTGGCGAGGGGGTGCGTGGCTGTCGAGTGTCTGCACACACACACACTCATAGACAGGGAGGGTGCGTGGCTGTCGAGTAGCTGCACACACCCACACGTGTGTGGCGGGGGGGTGCGTGGCTGTCGAGTAGCTGCACACACACACACGTGTGTGGCGAGGGGGTGCGTGGCTGTCGAGTGTCTGCACACACACACACTCATAGACAGGGAGGGTGCGTGGCTGTCGAGTAGCTGCACACACACACACGTGTGTGGCGGGGGGTGTTGTGTTGTGTGGCGAGAGGGCTCGCGTGGCGAAGCTGGAGAGGGACATCAGGGGGATGGAGAGGGAGCTCGTGTGGGGGAGGGAGGACCGCGAGCGGCTGGTGAGGCACGTGAGTGCGCTTGAGGAGGACCTCATCAGCAGCATCTCGGAGGAGCAGGATGATAGCCAGGTCGGTGCGTTGCGACATATTCCACCCACCAATTGCACTGTTGACGCGCTGCCCGCCTATGTGTGTGTGTGTGTGTGTGTGTGTGCAGTATGTGGCAGAGTTGGCGGAGTCTCTGGCGGGCAGGATCGGCCAGCTGGACGCACAGCTATACGAGCTGTTAGACCAGGTAGGCACACGTGCATCTAGAACGGAGCTGAGCATCTTGCCTACTCGTTCGTTATCTTTCGCTGCAGTCGAGTGCGTTGGCGGGCCCTCTCCATCAGGCCTACATCGACATCATCAGCCTCGACGCCGACCTGCACGCGCATCAGGTGCGCACAACCGACCAACGCGCACCCAACAACATTTACAAAACGCTCTTGATGTCTCAGGTTGCTTCCGAGCGGTCTCACCATGGCGGGCTGATCGCCGAGCTGACTGCATGTCTCCACAGCAGCTCCCACGACCTCTCCCAGGCCCAGCAAGACATCCGCGAGCTCCACACGGACCTCGGCACCGGCGAGGAGGACAAGACGCGGCTCCAGGCCACTCTCACCGACACACAGAGCCAGTTGGCAGAGACACGGGCGGCCCTCCGCGCACGCACCGACAAAGTGCTGCTCGACACTGCCGTGGCGACGGAGCCGACGGCCACTGCGGATGTGTGTGTGGGTGGGGAGGAGGACACGTCCGTTGAGTGTGGCGTCAACACCGAGTACGACATTGACAGCAGTGAGGATGGTGCAGAGGGGGGCGAGGGCGGGGAGGGGGAGGGTGGTGGTGTGGATGGTGATGTGGCGCGGCAGCTGAGGTGGCGTGTGCGGCAGCTGGAGCAGCAGTGCGCCATACTCGCCAAGACGGAACAGGGCCAACTCTACAAGGCAAGAACCCTCCCCATCTGTCCGCCCGCACACACATGGATGGATGGTGTGTGTATTTGTGTGTGGCTGTGTGGCTGTGTGCATTCGTGTTGTCAGCGCTTGAAGGCCGACAAGGAGGACGAGATGCACAAGGTGGAGGAGCGGCACCAGAGGGAGAGACAGGCGCTTAGAGAGCGGATCGACGGACTCGCAAACAGCCTCAAGGAAGAGAGCAGAAAGGTACGCACATACGAACCAACCAAGCCACCGTCAACAGATCAGATGGCGTGTATGGTCTGTGTGTGTGTGTCCAGCGTGACATAGCTGAGAGTGAGTGCGCCCGCCTGAAGCAGACGGCCGCCGACCTTCAGATGGAAATGAGCCACTGCCGCGCAAAGTCAGTCAGCTGCCACAAGAACACCGACCGGCGCACCACAGACAGACTTGTGAATGTCATGCGTCTGTCTGTGTTGTGTGTGCAGGATAGAGGCCATGGAGAAGATCAAGGCTCGGCAGGAGACCCGCCTGCAGACCATGGAGGCCGGCACCGAGCCACTCACCGAACGAATCGAAAAAGTGGAGGTCCGTTGACTGACTGACTGACTGACACACACATACACACACGTGTGTGTCTGTGTGATCTCATTCATCCCTGCATCCATCTATTTATCAGCGTGAGAACCGCAACTTGCGCAGTGCGTTCCAGCGTGTCAATGACGAGAACAAGAAGCTCCACGGCCGCATCCGGGCGGGCGCAGGGTCCTACTCGGGGGAGCTGCAGCAGCACCTCGAGACCCTCCGCACAGCCAAGGAGGAGCTCACCAGGGAGAGAGACGAGCTGACAGAGAAGAACACCGACCTGGCGAGGTCGTACGAGACGCTGCGGGCCTTCTGTGCCGTCAAGAAGGACAAGCGGACCTACCTCGAGCAGCAGCAGCAGCAGCAGCAGCCCGACAAGCCCACCGAGTGCATGACCCGCTTCC